AAAAGCGAAATCTTGCCAATGTAGAGACAGCCCTGAAGTTTAATTATTTTTAAACTTCAATTTTCTAAGGAAAATTTCTACGTTCATATGTATTTATCCTTATCCTAGCACTCAGTACCTTCAGGAAATCCAGTTGTTTCGTAATTAAGGCACTGGTCATAGCACAGCTCATTCAAAAGAAATGTCTCTGTCAGCAGATGTAACCAATATACACCAGCTTCACAGGGAGAGGCTGCCAGCTCTGTGAACGTGTGCAACAGCTGGAAGAAGCCTTTGGTCTTCTTTACAAAGTGGCTTCAGCTCCCATCTGATCCCAAAGTGAGTTGAGCCATGGTAGCCTCAGTGTGGATTCAAAAGGAAGCGAAGGGGAGTGAAAGCTTAGCGTGTCTCAACTTCTCTACCATTGTAACTGGTGTGAACCTAGAGTCTTTCAGGAGTTTGGGGATGATTCTAGTTCACAATTCAGTTATGAGATTGTATAATATATTCATCAATAAATTGCATTGGCCTGCATGTCTCAGGCTTCTAGACACTTTACTTGGTATGTTAAAATCAAAATTTTTAAAATCAAACAAAGAAACCAGTCCTCAATAAGGAAAGGAGTACAATTTACAGAGTTTGATGTAGGCAGTTCTTAATAACTAGTTTTGTTTTTAAATACTGTAAAAAAAAAATCACCTTCACCTAGAAATCAAGGAGAAAAAATTTCACCAGAGGAGGTGACTTGCAGAAAACAAAGCACTTTTGAAAAGAGGTACTAGGTACCTTCTAAAATATTTGTCTTTTGGTTCTGCAAGAAATGCACTAGACAAGTCTCAGGGTCAAAGGCGATGTTCAGGTTGGCAACTTTGTCCAAATGCCTAACTGCAGAGTACCAAACATATGACATCAGAAGCCATTGCTAAAACAGATACATTTTCCATTTCAAAGAGATTGTGGTGATGTATGTCAGACTAAATCTTGATAGTAATCTCTGCAGAAATCCTGTCCTGCGTACACTCAGCAATAGCAAAGATTGTAAGCTGCATGCTTAGTGCATCTTATCCACAACATAAGGAATTAAATTAATGGCAAACATGCACAAAATTAATTTATCTAACATTTCCTTATTATTTGGAAATGTAAAATATTAGTATGTAAGTTTGAGTCTAAACAGACAGATGTGAACTTAATAGGAAGAAGATAAAAATAGAGTTCAGAAAGAACATGCCTGGGCAGGAAAAAAAACTTTTAAATGATGAACACTGAATTAAAATAAAGACAAGTGAAATTGACTATTGTGCAATGTGTGAAAATTTTGTTCTGAAGAGACAATTATAGCATTTGCTTGGCATCAATTGCTATATTCACACATAACCCCATAGTCACACATTCATAATCTGAAAAAATATTCACTGGGACAAAATTGTCTATCACTGATCTCAGCTGACGTGTTATTTGATTTGGTGTGTGTATTTTCAGGTTTGGGTTTTTTTTTTTTATAAATAGAATATCAGTAAAATCTATTCAGCTAGTTGAATAAATGAGTTGGAACTATGCCCCTTTAAAAGTGTAAATATTACTGCATTTTGTTCCATGCAGGTATTAGGGATGGTTGAACTTGGTGTGTAAACAATGCACCAATGCCAATGAGTTTTAACATCTTCAACCAAATGTGAAAAAAATCATGTGGGTAACAGTACAATTACAAACTACTGAAAACTTACTTCTGAATATGCTTACTAAACATATAAGATATTGAACAGTCTATTTGAAAGTAGCAGAAAGCGCAGCAGAAAGAACCCCAGGCATATGTTATCCTGACCATCACAGTGGCAGGCAGCCCAGCCTGACAGGTTCAAGAGGCTACTGGTTCCTGCTTTTTGTAGAAAAGAGATAATAAGTATTTTTTGAAAAATACAAAACAAAATATTCTGAAAAAAATCTGCACAAATCCATTGAAACGGCAAATGTGAAATTGGTGGCTATAATTTCATGCTTAGTTTGTACTGCATTTTGTACATTCCAATCTTTTTTAAAATTTAGAACCATTGCAATGTGCACATGAGCTGTTTCACTATTACTTAAATCTGCCTTGCAGAAACTGTGCTTAGCCAGAAAATAGCAGCAACTGTGGGAACTCTGCATTTACCAACCTCATTTTTACCTCAGGTGGAAGTTTCAAAGCCTAATTTGCTACCATTTAAATGCTATTCTGAGCAAGCTCTCTTCCCCAACTCCTTCATTCTTTTTTAAAGGAAATCAAATTTAAAAAGCTTTATTTGGGTTTGCAGTTAAAATTAAATCCTGACATACAAAATCAAAATCCCCATATAAAGCTTTTACGTCATAGATTTTGAGTAGAAATACTAACATTGGGCATACACAATATTTTCTTCTTCTGTTAAAGCTGGCTATTAATATTGATGT